GCCCTAAGTCCCTGAACATTTTAGGTAGTGAACTGAATTGATTTCTCTGAATATATTTTAAGTTTATGCCAAAAATTACATAGTGATATTGAAGAAAGGCATTCCTTAAACGTTCCAGTACCCAATTTGATGATCGAATGTCTTGGCTTCTCCCCTTGTCTCCCCACTACTGGGTCTCCAAAGAGTTCCACTGAGACACACACAGCTCAGATATTCTTCTCCCCAAACCAGAGCTCTGATGTGGCCACCTGGGGGCAGTGCGGACTTGTGGATGGACTTCACAGTAAGGCTTAGGGAGTCCCAGCGCTGAGCAGTCCCAGTCTGCTGCCCAGTTCCCTTTTCTCCCACTTTGACTCAGGCTCCTACTGAGTTGACATGAGGCTGACTGGAATAGGTGCTCAGGTGTGAGGCACACTCACAGAGCAGCATGCATACCCATACCCATACCCGTATCCTGGAACACTTCTAGCCTCCAACTCCTGAGAGGCAGGGTTAAACAAATCAAGCTGGGGGGTTCTTTGAGCCAGGAAACCTAAATACTTTAAAGGAAAATGTGAAGGCTGGCATTAAACACTGTTTAACAGGTATAACTCTGTTCCATGACACACAGGTTGTGAATATGTCATATTTCTGTAGTTCTCTAAATTAAATATCCTTGGCTCCCATCCACCAGTGGGTGGAAAATCCAATCTTGGTCCTCTTTTCAGGAGCTCACAGGTATTTCAGAAATGTCTCTCAGTTAGTGCCTGCCGCCTTTGGAGCTCTTTGCCCGTGACAACTGTCTGTCCTAGGACCCTTTCTCTAGGCCTAACTGGGGCATAGAGACCTCTGCTGAGGCTCCATAATAGCAGTGCCTTTGGTCACCTCTTTGAGCACAAAGTCATCCCCATTCAAGGTCCTGCTGTGCCAGGGGTCTGTAGGAGAGTGGGAGCAGGACCTGGCTGCTCAAGGAGACTGCAGTGCCCCTTACCACCATCGCTTTCAGAGCCAGGCTCAGGACATTCTCTCTCCTCTGCCCTCCTCTAATCCTAAGAGCCCTTCTTTGTCTCAGACAAAACAGCTGTATCCCCTCTGAGACCAGGGCTGATTTCAAAAACAAAAGCCTGTTGATTTCTTTTATTTTTCTTTTCTGAGGCGAATGAAGCCCTGATCTCCAGAACAAAAGGCCCTCAGTTACTCTTTTGGGATGGCGAGTGTAGAAGATAGGAATAGTTCATTCTTTCACAAAGAACAGAAATGGCTGACACCACAGAAAATAAGACAAGTTAATTCCTCAAGCAGGTTAGCCTGTCAAACACTAAAGCACTGCTTATCTCATACTTTGTTCCCAGAGTATGGAGCCTCTCCAGGAAGAGGCAGTAGGCCATACTGCAGGTAGAGATCCACACCGATAATGTTCCAGCTTCAGACTGGGGAGTGCTTCAGGTTGAAAGTAAGCAGCAAACTTAGGCTCCCCCATCTTCTGTGTAGGTCCCAGATTGACTAGGGAGGATGGAGCTGGTACTCCCATGTTCCATTTCGCTGGGGCTGGCCTCATTTAGGCCTGATCTCTGGAAGGAGTTTGAAGAACCTATGAGAGAATTACCCCAAGACCACATCTAACCCTTGAATAATGAACTGGATAATGGAATAACAGAAGAGAGCAATCTTGATTACTGATTTTTTTTGTATAAATTTTTATTTTTTAATATTCAATTAAAATATCCTTATTTTGATTACTGAGATTTTTGACACCCCCTTAAATTTTGCACCTTAGATGCATACCTTGCTTGTTTCACCCTAGCTTGTCCATTGGCATCTGCCCCTTGCAGAGCTACCTAGAGCCCTCGTAGTTCATTCACAGGATATAGCCTGAGCCTAGCTATATGAGACCCTTGGTGGGACACCAGCGTCTCAGCCTGACCTTGGGTGAGAGTGGGGGAGCCCAGCATCCTGGGCTAGCATTTCTCCCAGACCCTCAGCTGGACTGTATTGAGGCCACACCTGTAAGGTATTGTACCATGAGACATCTGAGCATCAAGCCAAGAGCCCTTTGATTGATTTTTTTTATAGATGGAGAGAATTTGCTAACGTACCACTATTAATCAGGGGTCATATGAGGACCCAAGAATTTCACAGAATCTAGGTGGTTCTGATTTGATTAAGATCACATTCTTTAGTGTGGCCCATAATAAGGCCAGCCCTTCACTTCATTTCATCTGTTTCTAGCCTCACGTCTAGTCATTCCCCCATGTACACTATACTCTTGTCACAGGGAACAATTTGGTCTGCTTGCTGTTTTCGAAGCATAAGAAGTACTTTCATGCCTCCGTGCCTTTGCTCATGTTGTTTCCTTGCCTGGAGTACCTTTTTTCTTCCTCTCTGCCTGATGAACTCTTTACTTATCTTCAGGCCCAAATAAAATATCGTCTGCTCTGTAGTTTCCACTAATATGTTCCCCTTATTGAAGTGCACTGACACTCCTGATAGTCTCTGTCCCATTTTCATGTAGCTGTTTTTTACATGTCTCTTTATCGGTGAACTCAGTGAATGGCTTGAAAGAGCAACTCCTGAGGTTACTTCCTCTCCCCCTCCTCTTCATTCATTCTCCCCATCCTATGACTTCATTCATCTTTGTATTCGCAGCTCTTAGCCTAATGCTTGCCACCTAGGAGTACTTAACAAACATTTGTTGCATTTGATGAAAGCTGCAACACCTCAGGCAAAATGTGGTTCTTTTATTTTCACTTTCTATTTCCACTTCTCAGGAAATTTTGATTACTGGTCTCAATTTCCTCTCCTGATCATTTCTGTTCTTTCTGACCATATGCATCTCATCCCAGTTTTACCTAGATTTTCTTGGCTAGCTCTCCCAACCCACTCCACTCATTCAGCACATATTTATTGAATACCTGCTGTTCTGCATGCACTATTCTAGGCGTTGAGGATACAGCAGTGAACAAGATAGATGGGATACTTTCATGGAGCTTACATTATGGTTGAATAACTGGACCAAAACAAGTAAACGAACAAGATAATTTCAAATAATGATGAGTTATAGAAAGGAAATAAAGTGATGTGATAGGGAGTGAAGAGACATTAGTCGGGCAAGCCCTCTCTGACAAGGAAACACTGAAATCTGGAGGATAAGAAGGAGAAAGCCATATGGGGATCTGCAGAAAAAAATTTCAAGTGGAAAGGTCATCAAGAGCACAGGCCTAGAGACAAGATGAAATGACTGAAAATTATAAAGCATTATATAAATAAACAAAATGATTGCTTCAGGACTTTCATTAGCCTGTCAGTATACCGTCATCCCTTTCGCAATAGAGTAGCTTCAATCCCTTCTGAGAAGTGATTGACTTCCCTTAACCTCCACTGTCCCTACCACTCAAATCACAGAATTTTCTTCCAGTGAATCCCATTGAAACTCACCAGAAGTTCATTTGACTGAAGCACCAATCCATGGGATTAGATGCTTTGTGTGGTCCCTTTTAAGGGACTTCCCTCCCCTATCACTTCCAGAAGGACTAGGTGCTGCTCTCCCTTCTCCAGGAACACTCAAATGGAAACCCAGGGGCAGCATTAAGGGGAAAAAGTCAGTTCTTTGGACAGATACACACAAATGGGAGAGCCTGGAGTCCACTTCTGTGAATCCCAGGAGTGTCTCCTCACCCCTACAGCCATTCTTGTTATCCTTTCTCCACACTGTGTGTTGCCCTCCACTGGGCTGCCATGCCCAGCTGGTGAGGGAGTCCAAAAGAGCTGGCCTCCTCTCTTAGATACCAGAGCAGCTGCTTAAAGAGGCTGGAGGGCTTCCTGTCGCTGGAGACATGAAACACTCTCAGTAAGCCAGGAGCCAGAATCAAAACCATATGGTTTGCTTTGCAGTAAAGATCACAGGGCCTGAAAAACTAGAGGAAGGAGGGCCAGCCAGGGAACAAGTTTTGGGAGTAAGAGGGTTGTGCCTATCCCAATCCTGGCAGCCCTGTACTCACAAGTATGGCCCTCCTACCTAAGGGCCCTCCTGTCCTTGAACTCATAGCCCATTTCCACTCTCTTCAGACCCAGATTGGTAGAATTTCAAACAATAAAGGCCAGAGAATGAGATTATCCACTCCCTGGAACATCCTGGTCCCCTAAAGGCCTCCTGACCAGATGCCCCCCAAACGAAAACTGTCCCAATTTACTCTTATCTCTAATGAACTGACATACCCCACACCTTAAAAATATTAAACTAGCAGCCCTTTATCTAGTTGTTTACTGTGAATCTAACTAGATACAGGTTCTCTAAGATTTTTCTTAGATTTTTAGATTTATCTTAGATTTTTCCAAGGTGCTCCTGAGGTAGATAGAATCCATAAGCATTAAAACAAAATTCATGCTAATGACTCCTTCTAAAAGGATAAACTGCATGGTTCTAATGTGGAAGCCTGGATTTGGATCTGCTGTAGGACTTTAAATGCCAGGGCTTCTGTTAGTTCCAGTGCGTTCCTGTTCTTACTGCTACGTGAGTGGGGATTGTTTAAGGACACTAAACAAGTTTTGGGGAGGAGGTGCTGCATGCCTGGAACTGGGATACCTCACAGTGTCTTCTGCTTTGCAGACCAAGGCCAAGGCACCCAAGGAAAAATTGAATCCTAATTCTCACTGTCCACCTGCTGCCTCCCTGCTCCCCAACCCCAGCCCATCACTTCAGTGGCTTCCTGTAAAAGGCAGCATTTGTGGGAAAAGCTCTATGTCCACAAGTCTCCATGTCCATGCAGAAGAGTTTGGGGCAGCTGGCTTTGTTTTAGGGCCCAGGCTGACCCATAAATGGGAGGAACATTCCAGGTAACCTTTTACTATAAGAAAGGGATAGAGCCTCAGTACCTCAGAGTTGAGAGCCTGCTCCATAAACCTCTCCCATAATCTGTTCACCCAGGGCAGATCTGCAGTCTGCTGGGTCGTGGAAGAAAAAGCAAAAGCAAACAATAAAACAAAAACAAATAAACATGAGTTTTCCTAACTTTCTTCTGCAGGTATTTTCTTGGATGGGAAGGGAAATGAAAAATCTCATAGAGAGAATGGTTCTCCTTCTTGGCTACTGTTGAAAGTAAGTGTTTACAAGGTTGCGTGATCAGGGATTTAAGGGTGGGATTTTGTCTTAAGCTTCAAAAAGTTGCAAAGATGATACTGTCCCTGCCTCCCAGACCTCCTGACCTGCTCCACTATATGCTTAAGTCAAAACAGGGAGCAATCTCCTGAAGCCCTTTGGCTCCAAAGAGGACCCTCAATTCTAGCCACCAAAGACATAGCCCTCATTCTAGAAGTTCCAACCATGCATTCGCAGGAAATTTAGAAAAGCTGGAGTTCAGCCTTTGCTCCTTTCCTGATGTTATTTCTCATTGCCCCTCAAGGGCTATACACAGAACGCGAGGGACTGGCTATTTGGGTGAATTCAGTGAGGACATTGCCAGTTATAACTCATTCTTATCAGCCACAGAAATAGAATTAAGTATCAGATGCGTGTACCAGAATGTGTTAGGCACTGATAGGTTGATAGGATTGTTTTGAAGCTTTTGACCAAAATTAATTATATTTTAATATGTTTTATATATTTTTGTATAGACCCTATCTTATTTAAGCATCACAATAATGCTAAACTTTGGAAAGGGAAAGTATGACTCTCACTATTATACATACAAACACAAAGAGATTATATGACTTGCCCAAACTCATCTAGCTTTGTTGTTACTAGAGTCAAGACTAGAACACTGATTGCCTAACTTCCAGTTCAGTGCGTGTTCCACCATTTCAACTTAAGAACAAATATCCTCCAAAAAGTTGCAGTAAATCAGGGTATTAGCAGTCACTGAAGCCCTTCCCTGGGCTCCCATTATAATTATGGGGTCTTCCTCTTTCAAGGCTGAGTCGTCGTTTGCCAAAATGTGCTCCCCCAGATTCACACACAGTTCACGTGCGTGGAACACCACCAGGCACTTTGCATATCATTATCTCAATTCTTTCCCCAGTACCTCCATTGAGGATATTATTTACCCATGGTACTGATAAACCGAAGCTCAGAGAAAGCAGATACATTAGTTTAAAATCCTAGAGCTTATAAGCGGCAGTCGGAGCTGAAACCAGGTCTTCTGATACTCTGATCCTCTTTCTTGATACCCGAGGAATCCAGAAACATTAGCCATAATAGGAACCAAACATAGATCTCCTCAAGACATGAGTAAGTTTGTGGACTTTACCTGCATGAGGCAGATTCTAGTGCTGGCATATCATGTAATACAGTAGAGAACCTTCAGTTTCTCCAGAAGTGGCAACTATCCTTCCCACTGGGTGTCCACACAGAAACACAGGAGCATGCTTACGTGGCACGTTCTGCCCCGCCTCCCCCTGCCAGGGGTTTGGTCACAGCTACAGCATCTTGACAGCATATTTAAACCAACTTGCAGTAACTGGCAACAAAGTATCATTCCCTGACAGGCTGCGGGTCCTTGAGCTTCTGCAGACTTTGGAAGAGGGAATCCTTAGCTGAAACATTCAAGAACCAGGGGGTCCCAGAGAGGTACGTAATAAATTCCATTCAGATGTTGGGACTGGTTTTTCCCTCTTTCTTTCTTTCTTTTTTTTTCAATCACATTCGAAGAGCGAACAAGTTCTTTTCACCTTATCAAGCAAGGTGAGAAGAACATTGCTTCCTTTATTCTTGAGTGGGTCTGCACCAAAGGATTGAGAGGGCTAACAGCATCTGAGTAATTAAGGGTGACATCTGAGTTATCTGAGAGCACTTTGTACATGTGACAGAATTATCTGAATAGGTAAATGGTGTTGCAGATACTTCAGCAAAATCCAATTACGGGCCTCTGAGTCCATTCTAATTTACGGCTCCCACACTGTTTACCTGCAGTATAGGCAGCGCATCCGTTTTGAAATTCTTCTAAGAAACCATGACTGTGCAAATTGGTCCAACAAATAGCTGAATGTACACATTGCTCTGTTAGAGACGGAAAGGCAGACGTAGACATAACTACTAAATTTTATCTCATGGCATCTGAGCAGCCTAGATGGCCTGACAGTTTTGTTGTGCTACAATATATGGGTAACAATTGGGTCATTAGATAGCTCACAAAACTCCCCTCCAGCAGCCCAGGCTCTCCTGGGGTTAACTCTTGCTGTGGGGCTGGGATGAGGAAAAACAGACCTTCCCAAGCTGCAGCTGCAATTGACACCTCCTTTACCCCACACCTGAGCTCCTGCTCCCTGGAAGAGAAACCTGAGTAAAGATAGCCATGGCAGCAGAGAAGGGCTCTTCTTGGCAATGGCTGCTTCTGACTTCAGAGCTGTGGGCACTGAGCTAGAAAGCAGTACAGAGAGAGAGGACCAGGAACTAAATGACACCGGGAAATGGGAAACTCAGAGGAGAAAGGACCTGACTTTCTTCCCCTCAAAGACGTGTGCTTTGCAAGGTTCGTCTTTTCATCTGGACTGTTGAGTCTCAAAATTTTTAGTTCTTAGACTATTTGAGCAAAACAAGAGTGTCTCACCTATTTACTAGACAAATAAACAAGCCAGCAAACAAACAAACAAACAAAAAACCACTTTTGAGCTGTTTTTGCTGAATCCCTGTGATTATTTGTGGCTCCCTTTAAACATGTTTGTTTTGATGCATTTAAGTTTTGATTGAAATCCACAGTGGAAAATATTGTTTCAAAGGGAAAAAAACCAAACCACTCAACATACTTCTGTGCCTTGCATACTGACCCAACCCACAGAACGATTGGAAGAATCTTTGCCAACCCACCAGAGATCCCTGGATTCCACTTGGAGAGCCCATCGATCTAAAAAATGACATCTTGATTTCAGAACCCTTCTTTTGATCTGGAATTATCTATTATTGACCACAGAAAGCTGCTACTGACGATTACTGGAACAGTGTCCTGTAGAGCGAGAGGTGAGCCCAGTGTGGGAAGAAGAAATCTCTTTCTCTTTCTCAGCGGGTGTTTTGGTACAGTGCGATATCTATGCTTAGTATGATCTATGAGCTCAATTTCTTCTTCTCTTTTTCTTCCTCTTCTTTTTCCTTTCTCTCCCCTCCTTCCTCTTCCTCATTTTCTTCTACTTTGTTTGTTTCTTCTATAGTAAAAATTTCCCCAAGCCCTCGGTGCCTAAATGATTTTTGCCTGGTACATTCCACTAATTGAAGTTTCATAATCACAGTTTCTTATTCGGCTGTGAATTTTCCTATATCTGAACACCCAAATTATTGTAAACGCAGCCGGCCCTTGCCCATGCCTTGTGTACAGTTACCTGAGATAGTACCAGAGAAGAGAAGGCTGCAGGTTTGTGCCTTTCACTGTACCAAAATGCAGAGCTCTATTGACATACGTGTAGGAAAGGAGAAGAACCTTCGTGGAGGGAGCAGCCATGTTGCAATGAACCGACAACACAGATAATATGAAGAACAAATCCAGGGATAAATGGAACCATACGCTGGAAGCATGAAGTTACAATAGTTCCTTTGGTCAAACTGCTCCGAAAATGCAGGAAAAGACTCTCACTCATGTTGAAGGTAGGGCATGTGTCTGCATCTGCTTTGCTTAAACCACAGGGATCTCATTAAGGATCGGGGCACTGACACTGATGGCTTCATTCTGGGCACGACCTCAGCAGGATGGCCCCATGCAAAGGTAATTACCAGGAGTGGAGGGATCATTATAGCCTTTTGATTTGGTCACCCAAACATCCTGTCAGACAGATGTAGAAAGGAGACCAATCTTTACTTCAAAAGAAGTAAATTGTGGTTGAAGTGTTTGGTTTCAGTCTCTCTCAGGTTGAGGCTTTGAAAAACAGACCTGTGGGTCTAGGAAACCACATACCAGATTCAATTGCTTTGGAGTCCTGAGAATATTCAAGGTTATAAGGAAATATATGACCCAATTCAAGACAATTATTTTAATTGGCAGTTTTACTGTCTAGTGCAGTAATCCTCATTTTGTGTAAGTGGCTCGGGGTTGGAATGCAATCTGGGAAAGGGCTGTTTCTGGTTCTTCAAGACAGTCTGAAGGATTATCAAAAATTAAAATAGCATAAAACTTGCCATCTTTCGGTTACACCATGAATCTTTCTCTCTTCCAAGCACTTCTACATATGGGTAAGCATTCTAGCAAAGATGCAGTTACAGTCCAGCATGAGGAAACAAAGGAGCCCAAGTGTTCAAAGTTGGACAAAAGAGCCAGGACACTAGTCAAAAAGAGAGAAGAGCTATTACAGAAGAGAAATAGAAAATAGAAACCAAAAAGATCAGATGTCGGTGTATGTGTTGGGGTTGGGGGATGGTGGAGGGTAGCAGAGCGTCATCTTTGATTGACATAAGAAAGAATATAGTTCAGGGAGAATGTGCACAAAGAAATAGATCATGGCTTGAGAGAAAACTGACTTCAGGTGGGTAGGGAACATTTATTCAGATTTTAGGGAGAAAATTGGAAAGAACTGTAAAGCTAAAGTCTGTATCCAATTTGAATACCTATGCAGCCGGGTCTTGGGGCCAAAGTAGTCCCTAGATCCCCTAGAAGTCTGCATTTGCTCAAAAGGCAGCTCTCTTGAGGAAAAAGAAAACGAATGGGGGCATCGCAGTGGGGGAGAGGTCCATAAACCCTTCTGATGGCCCGCGCACAGGTAGGCCTTCTAGACAGCCGCCAGTTCTGTCTCCATCTGTTCCCGAAACCCGTGCTTACAGATTCTTTCTTTATATTCAGGTGTTTTTAAGAAGAATCAGCTTGCAGCAAAAGTACTAAATTCAAAACATTCTAAAACCACAATTTAAATCTTATTTAAAAGATGAGAAGTGTGACTCTTTCATTTGTTTAGAAATAGTCACTGCAGACAGTATCCCATCCGGTATGTGTTTCACTCGTTCCTTGGTTTGTTCTGCTCTCAAGTGCCATCAGGCCTCATTCAATACAGTCAGTAATTGGACTTTTAGAAGAGGGAAAAATGGTTATTTAAAATTGCCTCCTTATGTCTGGTAGTTGCACCCTTTGACATTTGCTTCCGGAGAAGTGTATACAGTGATGACTGACTAGGTGTCTGCTTTAAGTTAGTTCAACTGTGAAATAAATTAGGAGGCCATCCGCATCCTTAGCATCACTGTAAGTTAGGGACACAGAGAAAAATTCACTGGACCCTAGTGAAGGCATTCACGGATTAGAGCTTCGGTGTGGTCAGGTGACCTGATTCACAGGAGCAGCAGGCCCTGGTGCACAAAGCTCAGGAATAGGAATTAGGAGACCAGTTTCTAGTCCTGCATCTACTTCTAACAGCCTGTGAGGCCTTAATCTAGTCATTGACCCGCTCAGGGCAGTCATCTTTCCATGCATAAAATGGGAAGACAAAGACTAGCTTCCCCTACTTGTGGATAAGATGAAAGCTGAAAGTATCTGCCTTAGCTAGGGGAGAGGGAGTGGGGTCAGAGGGAGACAGTTGTGACAGCTGACTTTGTCACTTGATTGCTTAATTTTTAAAATCTTGATCTCCCTCTTCACTGGGATCCTGAATGGTCTGGACACACTTTTATTTTCTTTTAAGTAAAGTTGTTATTGAAAGTTTTTCTGTTTCTATTAGACAAAAAAGCCTTCAGCTTGACGAATTTTCACCACATAAACACACCCAGGAAACCTAAACCTAGATCTAGAAATAGGACATTACCAGTACCCAGAACCCCCTCATGCCCTCTTTAAGTCCCTTTCTTCCCAAGGGCAACCACTAACCTGACTTCTAACACCATAATTAAGTTTTGCCTGTTTGAGGGTTTATGTATGTGTGTATATACTTTGATGTGTGACGTCCTTTGCTTAATATTATGTTTGTAAGATTCAGTTATGTTATTGCATGTAGTAATATTTTGGGGTTTTTGGGGTTTTTTTGTTTGTTTGGTTTTTTTGTTGTTGTTTTTTGGCTGCACCACGCGGCTTGTGGGATCTTAGTTCCCCGACCAGGGATCGAACTCTTTGCCCCCTGCAGTGAAAGGGTAGAGTGCTAACCACTGGACCGCCAGGGAATTCCTACATGTAGTAATATTTTATTTTCATTGCTCTATAATATTTCATGAATTTATATACCACAATTTATTTATCCATTGCCTTATTGATGGACATTTGGGTTGTTTCCAGTTGGGGACTATTATGAACAGTTCTATTAGGAACATTTATGAACAGTTTTTTGCTGAACATATGAATGCATTTCTATTGGGTATATCTAGAAATGGAATTGCTGAATTATGGGACGTGTGAGTTCTGCTTTAAGAGATACTGCCAGTTTTCCAAATTAGTTGCATCATTTTACACTCCCACCAGCCATGTCTGAGATTTCTCCTCAACACTTGGTATTGTCTGTCTTTTACATTTAGCCATTTTGGTGGGAGAGTAGTGGAATGCTTTTTTATTTTAATTTATATTTCCTTGATGACTAATGAAGTTGAGCACGTTTTAATATATTTATTGGCCATTTGGATATACTGTTTTGTGAAATAACTTTCAGGTCTTGAACCTATTCTTCTGTCGGGTTGTCTGACATTTTTATTGATCTATAAGTGTTCTTTAAATATTATGGACGTTGTTGTGTACATGTTGCAAATATCATTTCCCACAATGCTGTCAAATCATATTGGAGCCTGAGGCAAAGGAAAACTCAGAAATACTGATACCTATCTTTATTTAAAATTATGACATTTTGCTCATCATGGATTTTTAAAAATTAACTCTGCTTTTTAAAAATATTGTATAATGTCTTATTTGTTTTGATTACTGAGGGGTTTTTTTGGTGCCCCTTTAAAAATTGTGTCCAAGCTTAGCACCTCACTTGCCTCACCCTAAACCTGGCTCTTATTCCATTCTGTGGCTTGCATTATAGTCTTTCTAGTGTTATTTGTTGAAAGGGAGTTCCTAATTTAAATTAAAATTAATTGAATTGGATTTTTCAAGCCTTTCTCTTATGGTTAGCATCTTTTTTAAAACTTCTGTTTAAGAAATTTTTTCCTACTTAAGTCATAAAGATATTCTCCTATAATTTCTTTTAGAATAGTGCTCTCCAATAGAACTTTCTGCAGTGATGGAACTATTCTCTATCTGTGCTGTCCAACATGACAGCCATATGATGCAACTATTGAGTACTTGAAATGTAGCCAGTATGTCTGTTGCACTGAATTTTAAATTTTATTTCCTTTAATTAATTTAATTAAATATAGCTAGTGGCAATGTAGTCTGACAACATTGTCCACCTGGAATTGATTTTAAGATATGCTATAAGGTCATGTCTCCTTTTTTTCTTCCATATGGATATCCAGTTGACCCAGGATCGTGTACTGAAAAGACTGTCAATTCCTTTTATAATTTACCAATATACGTGAATCTGGTTCTGGGATGTCCATTCTTTTTCTATCTATCTATTAGTTCGTCTTTTTGCCAATTCCATGCTGTGTCAAATACTGTAGCTACTATAATGAGACTTAATACATAATAGAATAAGTTTTTCATGTTTCTGGTCTTCCCCAAGAGGTCTTGGCTATTCTTGAACTTCTGCATTTCCACATAAATTTTATTTATTTATTTATTGAAGTATAGTTGACATACAATATTATGTTAGTTTCAGGTGTACAACATAGTGATTTGACATTTAAATACATTATGAAATGATCACCATGATAGGTCTAATAACCATCTGTCACCGTACAAAGATATTACAGTATTATTGACTATATTTCTTATACTGTATATTACATCTTGTGACTTATTTATTTTATAACTGGAATTTTGTCCCTCTTAATCTCCTTCACCTATTTCACCCAGCCCCCATAGCTGTCCCCTCTGGCAATCAGTTTGTTCTCTGTTCTCTGATACAGTTTGTTCTCTGTATCTATGTCTATTTCTGTTTTGTTTTGTTTGTTTTGTTTTTTAAGATTCCACTCGTAAGTGAAAACATATGGTATTTGTCTTTTTCATTCCGACTTATTTCACTTAGCATAAGTTGTGGCATGTTGTGGCAAATGGCAAGATTTCATTCTTGTTTATAGTTGATGATATTCCATTGTGTATATATACCACATATTCTTTATCCATTCATATATCAGTGGATATTTAGATTGCTTCCACAGCTTGGCTGTCGTAAATAATGCTGCAATGAACATTATTGTACTGAACATATATTATTCACACGTGTTTCAATTTAGTGGGTTCGTTTCCTTTTGTTTTCCACCCAGAAGTGGAATTGCTAGATCATATGGTAGTTCTATTTTTAATTTTTCGAGGGACCTCCATACTATTTCCCATAGTGGCTGTACCAATTGATATTTGCACTAACAGTCCACAAAGGTTCACTTTTCTCAACATCCTCACCAATTATTGTTATCTGTTCTTTTTTTTGCTTTATTTTTTTTAACATCTTTATTGGAATATAATTGCTTTACAATGTTGTGTTAGTTTCTTCTGTATAACAAAGTGAATCAGCTAAATGTCTACATATATCCCCATATCTCCTTCCTCTTGCATCTCCCTCCCACCCTCCCTATCCCACCCCCCTAGGTGGTCACAGAGCACCGAGCTGATCTCCCTGTGCTATGCAGCTTCTTACCACTAGCTATTTTACATTTTGTAGTGTATATATCAATGCTACTCTCTCACTTTGTCCCAGTTTA